TCAAGCGTTTTTCACGCCACAGTTCATGTCTTATTACAAGTTTCATGGCATTACTCCGTATCCCTGTGGACCGCGGACTCCTTGGCCGAATCGAGCTGAGACCGCAGTGCGTCTTTTCAAGCGAACATGGGCTATTATGGCCAAGGCCTTAGCTGATGAAGGTTATGCAGAGAAGGTGACTGTTCGTCAAGCAGTCAAAAAGGTGGCATGGGCAAGGAATTGCCAGCTTACCGTCTCAGGTCATTCTCCTTTGGAGATAGCCACAGGAAGACGGCCACCAGATTTGCTTGACGTTGAGAACAGTTCTCCTGAACAGCTCTCTGCTGATCCCGCTGAGGAGGATCGAACTACTCTGGAACTCCAGAGGATTGCCACGCGAGCTCATCAAGAAGCCAGACAATCACTTGATCTTCGGAAGGACCTTGCGCGCAGAGTCATGCCGTCTGATGGTCCGTACTCGACGGGTGATCGCGTGTTTGTTTGGCACAAGGATGAGTCGAAGAAGAAGTCTGAAGGAACCTGGGTCAGAGGTATAGTTGTGTCACAGGAAGGAGCCATGGTTTTGGTTGAAGTTCATCGTGCCGTTCTTCGGGTTAATCAGTCGAAGGTCAGGCGTGATGGAGATCCGTGGCATGATGTGGCTATTCCTCTGAAGACTGATGAGGTCCCGAGACGCTCTTCTCAGGAAGAGGCACTCGACCGCATCGGCGACGATATTCTTGATCGTGCCGGTTCTGGGTTCTGTTATGAGCATGAGATCTGTTACCACACTCTCACTTCAGGCAAGAGCGATGTCGTTGAGATCACACCTCGCCTCACCGGGCTTACTGCGTGCACTGTCCATTCTGGACTTGATGCGAGTGAACCTGTGTTGTTTGGTGAATGGGATGCCAAGTCCATTCAGTCTTCGATTGTGTCTGCTTGGCAAGTGATCTTGAAGTCTGAGCCTAATCACATTTTCATCCATCCTGTCATTCCTGACGAGTGGCCCAGGAAGGCCGTTAATGCCTTCTGGCACTTTTGCGCCGAGGTCTGCCGTTGGCAAGATGACAAGGGTGATGGATACTTTGTTACCATCATGTATCCTTCCCATTGCGGTTTTTGGCTCTCTCAGAGCAGTCGCTCACTGAAGTCAGCATGGTGAGATTTCCTTTCTCACCAGTTTGCCTGAGGGATCATTTGCTCGCTTGGAGTCGTTGGAAGAAGGCTATGACTCTGTGAACGCATTTGATCCGAGGTTTGCTGTCCTGCTGTCGCAGTGTCTTGTGGGTGATGAACGATCAGATCTCAGACAGTCTTATTTGTTCGAGGATATCTTTGAGGATTTCGATGATGGAACACTGTGTGCGTTGCGTTTGCGATCAGACCGAAATTCAGAGACCTTGCCGGTTCTTCCGTCAGCAGCAGAGTACTCGTCGTTACTCTCCAACAATGACAAAGGGAAGCTTCCGCCACCTCTGAAGTTTGTTGCTCCACAGCGTTTTGTTACATCGTCTTGAGTCCAGACTCTGTCTTATGTTGACAGTCTCCTTCCGGGTACTGAGCTGGAAGTTCACACTACCACATCGTCAGAAGCGGTCGCTTTACGACCGATGATTAAGAATGTGCGAGTGTTGACTCTTCCTTACCTGGAATTTGAGTACTGTAACGTCTACAGGGGGACTCAAGGGAAAACAGTTCCTCTGGTTCATCGTCATCCGGATGCTGTTGTGATTTTGTGGCAAAAGGGGGACATGGATCATGTGCTTTTCGTGACGATGGCACAGTTGCTTCCTTGCCTTAAGGATATTCAATCAGCCAATTGGTCCATGATCGTGTTCTGGAATGAGTCACAGCACAACACTTCCAGACGAGGGCCTGATGTTGGTTTGGACTTCACGGACCAACCAGCGCCGGCCCCGGTTGCACCGCAACCACCGGCCAATGATGATGATGTGGACTATCCGGGGTACGATGATCCGCACGGCGATACGCCTGTGGACGATGAGGATATGCCACCGCAGCATCCAGAGCAAGATCTAGACGATGATCCTGTTGAGTTGCATGTCGGTGGTGATCCTCCGTCACAACCTCCTGGAGGCGGTACTCAGGTACCGGTACCAGGGGGAGATGACGATTCAGACCTGGATCACGACCCGGACAGTGGTAACGACCATCCGCCAGGAGGCGGTCCTCAGGGACCGGGACCTGGTTATGGTCCTTCGCCAGAGGATCCTCTTCCGATGGAGTTTCACGAGGAGTCGCCTCCTCCTGGAGGTCCTCCCGACTGTCCTGGGGCTCCGCCTCAGTTTGCGAACCCGGATCAAGTTCTCAGTCCACCGATGCCTTGGCCGGCACCGCCTTCACCTATTGTTCCTGTTCCGATTCCGCCGCATCCTCACTTTCCAGTGCCGCACAGTCTGCGACCGCCGTCACCTCGCAATGTGTCTCAGACACGGGCTCGTGGCGCGCATCCTGATGATGTGTCAAAGGCGAAGTCGCGCACTGTTGTGGGACCTCCGGTTGTGTTGTTTCCTGGGCAGCCTGCAGGGAAGAAGGATCCCGATTTTTCGGGTGACTTTCCGGGTTCTCATGAACCTGCTTCCTCTTCTTCTGATCCGGCTTCTGTTCCTGGTTTGCCGGTGACTGAGAGGGAATTTCCTATCCAGCAAACCCCGCACCCGGAACCCACCCCGGAACCGCCGGTGCCGGAGGCTGGTGAGGATACTGACTCCGATGCGACGGTTGACTATCGTGATGAGAGTTTGCTTGCCTTGGCTGTTGGTGACGACGACGTTTTGATTCGCCTTCCGTCGGACTTTTCCGTTCCTTCTTTTGTTCCGTTGGATGGTGATGGTTTTGCGTCGTGGTTGACTAAGCAAGACAAAATCAAAGCGGGTACCCTGACGCCGGAGATGCAGCGCAAGTATGCCGCCGAAATTCGGAAGGCTAAGCTTGAGGAGTTCAAGAGTTACTTGGACAACGATGCTATTCGGCTCACGGACCGCCGCAAGCTTCCAAGCGATGTCAATTTTCTTACCGGACGCTGGGTCCTTACGGTGAAGGTTGACAAGAACGGTTACTTTTTCAAGTTCAAAGCGCGTTGGGTGTGTCGTGGGTTTCAGGACAAGTTTGCCTGGGATCAACAAACGGACAGCCCTACGGCTACTCGGTATGGTTTCCGTTTGGTTGCGCAGTGCGCTGCCAATCACTATTGGGATCTTTTTCATTTGGATCTTAAGACCGCTTTCCTTCAGGGGGAACACTACAATCTGTCATCTCGCATGGTTGTGGTTCAGTTGCCTCCTGACATCGGTTTGCCTACCTGGATGGTCGGCCTTTGTCTCAGACCGGTCTATGGTCTGAACGATGCACCGAGAAGATGGTGGAATCGTTTGGACAAATTCCTCAGGTCTGTTGGCATGGAACCGACAAGAGCTGACCGATGCACTTATGTCGCATACGACGGCATTGAAGGCAAGAAGGGGAAAAGCCACCTTGCGGCAGGAAGCTCCTCTCAGGAGGAGGAACCTGAAGTAGGAAGCACCTCTCTGGAGGTGGAACCTGCCTACCTCAAGCAGGTTGCCCTTCATGACATGACATGCTACGCATATGATGAAGGAAACCGTTCTTCCTCCAACCGTGCGGAGGAGAGATCCTTCTTTCATGTCCCGATATTGCTCAGTGCTTTAACACCGATACCAAGAAGATGGTTGACTATGCTTGGAGACCTGTGACTGATGATAAACTTCTTGGATCCTTAGGCAGTGTTGCTTGTAAGAAGAGAGGTTGGTTCCCTTATGAGAATGGGCATGCTCTCGTTTCTCATAGGGCCAAGGCTCTTCGTACTCCTGCACCTGTCTATCAGGTCAAGGACTACCCTTATCGAGTTTCCATGATCCTTCGTAAAGGGACATGGTGGATCGTCGAGAGGGCCCATGACCTGAGGTTGGACAAGGGTGACAAGACCTGCTTCCTTGAAGAAGAAGCGGAGGTTCTCGTCTCCTTGTTCCTCCCTGAGAAGGCTTCGTACAAGGTCGAGAGCTTATCAGAACTCTCTCCCGAGTTGGTTGACCAGCTTCTTGAACACTTTGTTGACCCTGTGCATGGAAGTCCCAGCAAAGGCCGGAAAACAGTTGGAGTGATGAGCCTTCATGTTGATGATCTCATCGTAAGTGGAACCCCTGAGTTCCTCACTTGGTTCCTTAAGAAAATCAAGGAACACTTCACTGTCGGTCATGAGGACAAGAACGACCTTACATTCACGGGACAGCGTGTTCGTTGGGTTTTTGATGCACAAGGTAAGAAGAAGTACATATCGATCGATCAAAAGCTGTGCGTTTCTGAGCAGATCGTCATACCTAAGCATCTTAAGGATGCCGATGCATGTGACAAAGCTCTCCACACCTCTTATCGCTCTTTGCTTGGTAGCATCAACTGGCTTCAGTCGAGGACTCAATTTCAGGCGTGCTATCAGTTCTCTCGCTTGGCTTCGGCATCTGCTGCTCCGACCGTCGGTCACTGCAAAGAGTTGAACAAGTTGTGTCGACAGATACGCAGTGAAGAGATTGAGTTGCGGGTGTGGCCAGTGAAGGGATCACCAAGGATTCTTGGAATTCCTGACGCAGCTTTTTCGCAATAACAGCGACAAGTCCTCACAGAGGGCGATGACTATTTTCATCGCGGACGAAAAGGTCAAGAATCGAAGGGACACCCGAGGCTCTTTGGTCTTCTTCGAATCAACCAAAATCAAGAGAACGACCCTTAGTACCACTGTCGCTGAGCTTTATGCTTTGATGAAGTGTTTTTGACGCTGAGATACACATGCGCACCGACGCTAACAATCTTGTGTCTACCGCTTCTACTACTCACTCACCCGAGCAACAGGAAACCATTCACATGATTCAAATGTTGAGGAAGGAAGCTTGTTCAGGGGCGATTGCTGATCATTCTCACGTTCGAACCGAACATTGTCTTTCTGATTGCCTCACGAAACGAAGCGCTAATCCTAGAAACCTCTCATTGGAACCATGGAAAACGCACTCTTGGAGGCTCGAAACGCACGTTCTGGTTGGTCCTGGGGGGGGCGGGTCGGGGGGTGGGGGGTGGGGTGGGGGCTAATAACGTCCGTGTTTGACGCGTGCAGCAAGCTTTTGGAGGCTCAAAAAGCACATGGGGTTGGGGCTAATAAGTCCGTGTTTGACGCGTGCAGCAAGAGCAGTCTCATTGGAACCATGGAAAACGCACTCTTGGAGGCTCGAAACGCACGTTCTGGTTGAATCCTAGGAAACGAACTGCAGGGGATAAGAATACACATAAAGCACACGCGCTGTTTCAACGATCCGTCACCAACCAACATCGTTTTGAATGCATGCGGCATGCAGCAAAAACAACGACCCTGCCGAGGTTTGCGCAAAGCACCGATGCGGCGAAGCCAAATCCTCTGGCCCTGCCAGCACCTTCACACCTTCGCAGCCAAAAAGCGCAATCTCAAGCATGCACGCCGAAAGCCGGAAACCACGGCCCTGCCGACGTTTCATGCACTTTTCAAGCTTCCAAACACCCCCAATTCACAAGTAACGAACTGCGAATTCATTGGCCCTGCCGATACAAAACGCAGCTCCGCGCGTGCAAGTGACGAGGCAACTCTTTGCACAAGTGACCCGGCAAATCTTTGCACAACTGACCGCTCTGCCCCATCAACATGCCAAGAGCAGGAGCACTACCAATTCGAACTCCCAATGCTCTTCTTCATAGGTGCCCCAGCGACACAGTCGCAAAGGAACCACCCCGCCCCCACCCCCCCCCCGCATGTTCAACAACTTCTACTGCCTGCCAGAAATCGGCGCACTAACATAGTCTTAACCAAAGATCAAAATGCCATCAAAATGCCAACCGCCTTTTCAGTAATCTCTTGCACCAGCGGATAGTAGGCACTGTAGCATGGGCATCGACCACATCGGGCTCCCGATGCTCCCCCAGCGACGAGAATGCCAAGCGCATTTACAACAACTTCCAACACCTGCCAGAAATTGGCACACTAGCACGAGCATCGACCAGTTCGAACTCCCGGTGGCAAGCGCCCGAGCCAAATATCCAAATGCCAACAGCCTTTCCAGTAACTTCCTGCACCAGAGGCCCGACTCCAGAACGGCGGGGCCCAAAGCTTGTAACACCTTTCGGTCGTGTGGCTGGGTAGCCCAGTGAATGTGTTGGCTGTGTCCAGGCTCAAATCAAGCAAATCATTGGCATGAAAGGGCCAGGCTCAGCTTGTTATCGAGATAACTCAAGGACCGAACATCAGGAACAAATGCTTGCATGTAAGCGTGATGAGCGACATCAGCCAACAGCATGCCCCTTAAGGGGCTGACGGGGGGCACTTTGCCGGAAAGCCTGGACTCGGCCTCGAATCAGGAATCTCCGCTCCGTCTGTTGTAAGAAAGCCCTCCAGAAGCGGCAGGCAGGGAAGAAGGGAAGATTGCTAAATGCTTTCACCATGTCCATGTTAAGGCACACTCCACTCGGTGCACCAAGCAAGACCTCACGACATGTGCACTTCTGAAGAAGCAGACGGGCTCGGGCGAAAGGAGATCAAATGCAAACTCGATGAACAACGGGTCTCCGCGACAGAGCAAACGCTCAGGACCCCCTGCTTGCGCTGGTGGCCCTGCACTGCCAATCCAAGCCGTGGCTTTCGCCCAACTCTTCATGGCTTGCTCCGTCTCAGCAACCGCCGTTCCAACCGCTAGTGCTACCGGGGCATTTTCGGAAGCTCTACGGTGCAACATTACCTGCGTATCCGAATGATCTTCAGAAAGCCTATGCCCAAAGTTTAAGGGGTTCCCGCTGCCCACTCTGAGGAATTGAGGAACCGGCTGCTGCTGAGTACTCCAAAGGGGCTCAGCTCGCTCCTGAACTTCAATTGCTGATTGCTGACACACCGCACCTGAAATCGAGAGAGGGCTCCGAGTCAGAACCGTTTCCTCGTTAAGGAAACTCTGCATGGCCAATCACCTGTATCGCATGCGACGGAATGCGCGAATCTTGAATGTGCGAGCCTGCATGTAAGCCAAGTCTCGAAGGGGCAACCACTGCTCAAGTGCCATAGCTCGCACACTTCAAAACTCCACAGCTGTAAACACCCCCGGCATGTTTCGGGGGCCCTGCTGCCTGCACCGACCGGCCCAGCTGCGCAGCCTGGGCTCTGAAGGCCAGGGAGAGCGAGAAACCACTGAAGCCCCCGTCGCGAAGACTGATCTCAGGCAGAGGACGTGACGCCGCGAAAGCCTCACTGCTGCATCTTGAACCCTGCCCCCCGAAAGCCTCGAGGATCTCGAACGACAAGCCTTAAGAGTTGCCGTGCGAATAGAACGCACCCTGTGCTCCCCCGTGAAATTCCCAAGGCTCGAGCGTGACGGGCCGCGTTCCGGCGACAATCTTCTCCATATTGTCGGCATGCCCTGTTTCAGAATCGCGCTGCGGATGATTGCGGAGCCTCCCCTCTGGCACTGCTGCAAAAGGCACAGTGAGGCCTTGTGTCTGATTGACTTTCCGGACAAACCTCGGCATGCTGCCAAACTGCTGCCGGACATCTGTGGCGACGGGCTGCTGGTGTGGGAGCCTTCCTTTCCGAGGATACCTCGATTGCAAGATTCGCAACCTGGCTTTTGACGCTTGGATCAGACCGTGTCGACACCATGAGTCGAATACCACCAAATCCAGAGGTCCTAGCCTAAACAACACGTTCAGGTTCCGACACTCGTCTCAGTGCTCAGACACTGCCCTCCCATCTGAGTGCTGTGCGAATCGATGCCTGCTGTGCAGCCTGTGCTCTGACATATGGGTGGTTGTCAAAATTAGGGTCCTTTTTTGGGTCCCCATTTTTAATACGGCACCTCATATTTAGGGTACCCAAAAAGAACCATATTTTTGACAACCACCCATATGAGATCAGACAAACAGTTAGAAGACGGCTCGCTGCTCGGGGAGGCTTACATGGCTTACTGGCCATATGCAAGTACAAAACTCCAAGAAATCCCGTGGACCAGACGTGCTAACGTCAGGTCAGTGATGCTGTCGAGACGTTGCACCAGAACAGCAGCAGCTCAGCTGAGCTGCTGGCTCCGAGACCCTGTGGTTGCAAGTCTAAGGCGATGTGGGTTGCCTCAGCTATCGGTGTTTAGATGCCACCGCCTTGTCACGCGCCATCGCATGTGTGCACTCACTCACTCACTCGCTCCATCTCTCTCTCTCGCTCCCTCTCTCGCTCGCTCTGCCTCCCTGTCCGCCATCCGCTCACACAATCCTTGTGGCAAGCGCTCCAGACATGAACACGTCCTATCGAGGCGTCGCCAGGGTGAGTCGGCTCTAGTAGGAAACTGTCGTCAGACGACTTGAAGATGCGAAGTGAGTTGGGTCCGCCTCAGGCTTTGTGAATCCTTCCGAAGCTCGCGACAGCATCTTAGAGTGCTGAACTGAACCTTGCCTTGCCACGAAGATGCCATCACTTCGGATCCGAAGAGCGCTCGGTAAATCTCCAAACCATGATCTTCAGAGTTCTAGATGCTCCAATGGGGATCATTGCGGATCCACAAGGATGCGAGACATACTTCGCGCACAAAGGTGGATGATTACGTTTGGAGAATCTTCTTCATATCCCCAGGGATATCAGCCTGAGCGCTTGTCGCACCGTGGTAGATGCTGCACTGCTTTCCCTATATTGGCCCTACATGTTGCTCAGCGCTCTTCTGCTGGCAAGCCTGAACCGCGTGAACTCAGACTGGCTCCTACACATCCTTTTGCTTCCATGGGGAAAGTGAAAAAATGCGCCGAAGCTTGGGCTCAGGCTCAAGCCTTCCCTGCGGCACTTCCTCGCCACGTCTCTCCTGCGCATGCAAGGATTCTCTGGAAAAGAAGGCCCCAACCAGGCCGGTGGATCTTGTCCCACAGAGCCTCTTCGCAAAAAGGTGACAAACGACGACTGTCGACTCGCCGGCAACAGGACCGACAAGAAATGTTTTCAAATGTTGTGCATGTTGGTTTCACGCTCATGCTCTTTCAACACTACCTGCTTGACTGTCACTGCTTAGCCGGTGGACGCCTGGCCGTGCCCGCCCAAACAAGGTCCAGGAGTTCAGAGGACGCACTACATGACGTGCGAGACTTCGCAATTCACGGAGCCTGCTGGAGGCGCGGGACCAGCTGCCATGCTTCAGCCCGATATCAAAGAAACAGTATCAAGAAACTTGAAATTGATGAAACCGTCTTCATGTGCAGGACGATGTCCCCAAATTTGCCGTTGTAACATGCCTGGCTACGATCACACGCTTTTTCGGGACAGTTCGAGCCACAGACTCATTGATGCAACCGAAACATGTGTAGTGAACTGCTCGAACAGTGACCACACGAATCTCTCAAGTCTGAGATTATACTCGAAACTCGACCGCATGACTTAACAACAAAGATGCGAGGCCGTGCAATGTGAGTGGGCTCTACAGTGAATGCCGTAAACAATCGCAATGCCTGACTTGCACAGAACGTCCAATCACCATGCCATACACCACGCGAGGAAAAACAGCTTGTGGCGCTGATTTCCAAAAAATTCTGAAGTTGGGGCTCAGTTTGAATGTGAGCCAACCAATCTGTTGCACGTACCACGATGAACAATTTGTGCCTGAAGCGACAACTGTACTCAAACACTTGAATCATTTCAACTATAGAACAATCAATCCTTGTCCAACCTGAGGTTTGGCGAGGCCGAGCACATGCGACTTATGGCAGAAAACTGCCACAATGTCCCGTGAAAACCATCCAGGATAGACAACCATGGTAACGACAAATTGATCGAAATGTGCCTACTGCAAATCCAGACGTTTATCCAAGGGAGGGCAACTTGAAGTCACACTGTTTTCCAGGCAGCTCTGCCGCAATGCTCGATAGGTCTTTTGAAGACCAGTCGTGTCCGGACTCTGTATAGGAAAGGAAACGAAGGGCATGGAACCGCCGCAAGCTTGTTTTCGACAATCATGCTATACAGTGCAGTGTTAACGATGCCGAACTTGTTCCGACACCCATGCATCAGAACTGGGATGCCTAAAGCATCCTGAAGTGCAGGAAGTGGCAAACAGCACACAGCCGTGCTTTTGGGAAGCAAACCAAACCCTGAGGCTTAAAGCCTGAGGACAAGACTCCGAAGGCCTGGAGTCCAACGCACTCCTGAGTTGGCAAGGCTCCCCAGCCAGGGCTGAGCTGCCACTTCTTACTGCCACTTACTGCTGCCGCTACCGCTACCGTTACGACAACACCGGACACGACATGCAAAAGCGGAGAAGCACAAGCGGTTGAGGAAGAGAAGCGGCAAAACAGCCAGGTCAAAAGCGGACCGAAGAACAGAGAGCCAGGCAAGGGGATGAACAAAACGGGACGCGGAGAATCAAACATACAAGCAAACAAGCAGAACGAGAAACGAACACTCGGAAAAGCAAGAAAGTGGAGAGAGGCAGCACGAAAGTTGTGCAATTGCACACCAGCACGTTTTCGCGATTCGTACATGCTGCAAGTGACAGTGTTTGTGCAGTTTCTGTGATTTCCAAGGAGCATACAGAAGAAAACGAGCGGGGTCATACACAACCCTTGCGCACTCAAAGCCCTAGACCCTGTATCCTAAAATCGCTGAAAAACACAACCGATGGTGTCATACACAGTTGTTTCAATTTCCAAAGCGCAAACAAAAGAACACGAATGGGGTCATACACAACCCTTGCGCACTCAAAGACCTAGACCCTGAATCTTAAAATCGCTGAAAAAGACAACGAATGGTGTCATACTCAGGTGTTCCAGTTTCCAAGGAGCATGCAGAAGAAAACCAGCGGGGTCGTACAAAGCCATTGCGTATCAAAGCCCTAGACCCTGCATCTTAAAATCGCTGAAAAAGACAACGAATGGTGTCATACACAGTTGTTTCAGTTTCCAAGGAGCATACAGAAGAAAACGAAGCGGGGTCATACACAACCCTTGCGCACTCAAAGCCCAAGACCCTGTATCTTAAAATCGCTGAAAAAGACAACGAATGGTGTCATACTCAGTTGTTTCAGTTTCCAAGGGGCATACAGAAGAAAACGAACGGGGTCATACACAACCCTTGCGCACTCAAAGCCCTGGACCCCGTATCTTAAAATCGCTGAAAAAGACAACGAATGGTGTCATACACAGTTGTTTCAGTTTCCAAGGAGCATACAGAAGAAAACGAGCGGGGTCGTACAAAGCCCTTGCGCACTCAAAGCCCTAGACCCTGTATCTCAAAATCGCTGAAAAAGACAACGAATGGTGTCATACACAGTTGTTCCAGATTCCAGGAGCATACAGAAGAAAACGAACGGGGTCATACACAACCCTTGCGCACTCAAAGCCCTAGACTCTTAAAATCGCTGAAAAAGACAACGGATGGTGTCATACACAGTTGTTTCAGTTTCCAAGGAGCATACAGAAGAAAACGAACGGGGTCATACACGACCCTTGCGCACTCAAAGCCCTAGACCCTGCATCTTAAAACCGCTGAAAAAGACAACGGATGGTGTCATACACAGTTTCTTCAGTTTCCAAGGAGCATACAGAAGAAAACGAACGGGGTCATACACAACCCTTGCGCACTCAAAGCCCTAGACCCTGTATCTTAAAATCGCTGAAAAAAACAACGAATGGTGTCATACACAGTTGTTTCAGTTTCCCAGGAGCATACAGAAGAAAACGATCGGGGTCATACGCAACCCTTGCGCACTCAAAGCCCTAGACCCTGTATCTTAAAATCGCTGAAAAAGACAACGAATGGTGTCATACACAGTTGTTTCAGTTTCCAAGGAGCATACAGAAGAAAACGAACGGGGTCATACACAACCCTTTCGCACTCAAAGCCCTAGACCCTGAATCTAAAATCGCTGAAAAAAACAACGAATGGTGTCATACACAATTGTTTCAGCTCCCAAGGAGCATACAGAAGACAACGAACGGGGTCATACGCAACCCTTGCGCACTCAAAGCCCTAGACCCCGTATCTTAAAATCGCTGAAAAAGACAACGAATGGTGTCATACACAGTTGTTTCAGTTGCCAAGGAGCATACAGAAGAAAACGAACGGGGTCATACACAACCCTTGCGCACTCAAAGCCCTCGACCCTGTATCTTAAAATCGCTGAAAAAGACAACCGATGCTGTCATACACAGTTGTTTCAGATTCCAAGGAGCATACAGAAGAAAACGAAAGGGGTCATGCACAACCCTTGCGCACTCAAAGCCCTAGACCTTGTATCTTCCAATCGCTGAAAAAGACAACGAATGGTGTCATCGTTGCGCACACATAGCCCTAAACCCTGTATCTTAAAATCGCTGAAAAACACAACCGATGGTGTCATACTCAGTTGTTTCAGTTTCCAAGGAGCATACAGAAGAAAACGAACGGGGTCATACACAACCCTTGCGCACTCAAAGCCCTAGACCCTGTATCTTAAAATCGCTGAAAAAGACAACGAATGGTGTCACACACAGTTGTTTCAGTTTCCAATTAGCATACAGAAGAAAACGAACGGGGTCATACACAACCCTTGCGCACTCAAAGCCCTAGACCCTGAATCTTAAAATCGCTGAAAACAACAACGAATGGTGTCATACACAATTGTTTCAGCTCCCAAGGAGCATACAGAAGACAACGAACGGGGTCATACGCAACCCTTGCGCACTCAAAGCCCTAGACCCTGAATCTTAAAATCGCTGAAAAAAGACAACGAATGGTGTCATACACAGTTGTTTCAGTTTCCAAGGAGCATACAGAAGAAAACGAACGGGGTCATACACAACCCTTGCGCACCCAAAGCCCTAGACCCTGTATCTTAAAATCGCTGAAAAAGACAACCGATGCTGTCATACACAGTTGTTTCAGTTTCCAAGGAGCATACAGAAGAAAACGAACGGGGTCATACACAACCCTTGCGCACTCAAAGCCCTAGACCCTGAATCTTAAAATCGCTGAAAAAAACAACGAATGGTGTCATACACAATTGTTTCAGCTCCCAAGGAGCATACAGAAGACAACGAACGGGGTCATACGCAACCCTTGCGCACTCAAAGCCCTAGACCCTGTATCTTAAAATCGCTGAAAAAGACAACGGATGGTGTCATACACAGTTGTTTCAGTTTCCAAGGAGCATACAGAAGAAAACGAACGGGGTCATACACAACCCTTGCGCACTCAAAGCCCTAGACCCTGTATCTAAAAATCGCTGAAAAAGACAACCGATGGTGTCATACACAGTTGTTTCAGATTCCAAGGAGCATACAGAAGAAAACGAAAGGGGTCATACACAACCCTTGCGCACTCAAAGCCCTAGACCTTGTATCTTCCAATCGCTGAAAAAGACAACGAATGGTGTCATCGTTGCGCACACATAGCCCTAAACCCTGTATCTTAAAATCGCTGAAAAACACAACCGATGGTGTCATACACAGTTGTTTCAATTTCCAAAGCGCAAACAAAAGAACACGAATGGGGTCATACACAACCCTTGCGCACTCAAAGACCTAGACCCTGAATCTTAAAATCGCTGAAAAAGACAACGAATGGTGTCATACACAGTTGTTTCAATTTCCAAGTTCCAAGGAGCATACAGAAGAAAACGAGCGGGGTCGTACAAAACCCTTGCGCACTCAAAGCCCTAGACCCTGCATCTTAAAATCGCTGACAAAGACAACGAATGGTGTCATACACAGTTGTTCCAGTTTCCAAGGAGCATGCAGAAGAAAACGAACGGGATCATACACAACCCTTGCGCACTCAAAGCCCAAGACCCTGTATCTTAAAATCGCTGAAAAAGACAACGAATGGTGTCATACACAGTTGTTTCAGTTTCCGGGGAGCATACAGAAGAAAACGAACGGGATCATACACAACCCTTGCGCACTCAAAGCCCTAGACCCTGTATCTTAAAATCGCTGACAAAAACAACGAATGGTGTCATACACAGTTGTTTCAGTTTCCAAAGAGCAAACAAAAGAAAACGAACGGGGTCATACACAACCCTTGCGCACTCAGAGACCTAGACCCTGTATCTTAAAATCGCTGAAAAAGACAACGAATGGTGTCATACACAGTTGTTCCAGTTTCCAAGGAGCATACAGAAGAAAACGAACGGGGTCATACACAACCCTTGCGCACTCAAAGCCCTAGACCCTGCTTTTTTTAAATCTGAAAAACAACAAGTCGCTCAGCTTTTGCCTCGAAGGGCTGCAACCGATGTCGCGATTCGATCTGTCATGCTTGTTGATGTCACTGTGCGCATGCACTCAAACTGCACTGCAATGGATTCTGTTAGGCTTAACACGCCCCCTCAGTTGGTTATCCCTTTGGGATGCCCAACAGGACAAGTCACAAACCCTGGCCTGGAAAGCGCTTTCGCACCGTCGGGCAAAAGTGGTCGGCGTAGCACTGGTTGCATGCAGCTTTTCCCAACCTGATGGCTTCCCTGGCCACCCGGGAACCAACTTTGGACGAGTTGCGGATGTTTCCGCACGTCCTCCTGTGGTAGGCGCAGCCGGAGGTAGTGGTCCACACCGTCTCTTCAAGCTCTCGGTCACTCAGGTGTTCGAGAGCACACTCTAAGAAACCCCTACGCTGCTCAGCCAGTGTTAGCCTCTGCTGCGCTCGGGTAGCCAAGGATCCGATAACCGAGGTCGAGCAACTGGCCGCCGCGCTCGCCGTGGCCTCCTGGTAGGACCCCGTAGCCGGCTCAAGCCCTGGTGTCCCACCGTTCTCGAACAGGTCCTCGTAGGTCAGGGTTTCCGAAGTAGCTGCCGTCAGCGTGAAACTCCACCGGCTGGTGACCAACATGTAGATCACCACCAGCAGCACCATCACCATGGGGTTCGCGTAGAAGGTCTCCACCATGTAGAACAGGATCGCCTCGAGGGTCTCGGTCGTGTCCGTGCCGTTGGCCGTGCACCCTTGCATCGTTATGGCGGCCATTGCCTGCACAAGGCGCGCTATGAGCTCGCCACCTCGTCGTCCCAAAAACCTCGTGGCCCATGGCTTCAGCATGCTCGGCTTGCCCGATCGGCTCGCCATTGTCGTCCACCACACCCGCCAAGAAGCATAGCAACCGTAGGCGCCGTTGCTGCAAGCTCTTCGAAGTCACTTGGGTTGAACTGGGTCGGCACCGCGGCGACCCGTAGAAGCTTGCTGGCCACCCACTGCTGTATCCACAAGCAGCTGTGGTCTGCAAGTGGCGAACTCTCCCGACTCCAAGTCGGCTTGCTATCGCCCTGGCGACCAAAGAGTCGCTCCTCATCACCAGCTCGGCGTCCTCGCGCATGCTCCATTGCCAAGCCTTGTGGATGAGGATGGCTTCGCTGGTTGCCACCAGCTCGGCTTCTCCCGAGCTCAAGGTCACCACCTTCTGGCCGCGAACGAAGCTGTACATGAGGGTTTGGTCGAGGTAGACTTGGCCGCTGCTAAGGCTTTTGCAGGTCTCTCCCGGTCGCTGAAGAAGCTGGAGTCGGAGTAGCAGCTTGCCCCGTGCCAGCCGCATCACCGACTTTTCTGGGGCCAACCGGAGATTCACACCATAGCCCTGCGTCTTCCACAGGTAGCCCACAAGGTGCTTCATCAGCTTCATGGCTCGCTCTGTCGGCCGAGCCGCTCTGGAAGAGAGGCTCTGGATGACGGCCTGCGCGTCGGGCCGCTCATTGCTCACATAGAGCATGGTCCGGAACTTGGTGGCCTCGGCTGCTGGAAGCTTGGTGGTGTCCACGGCGAACATGTCGTCCTGGCCGCTCAGTCCTGGCGTCTGTCGCTCCTTGGGGCGCTCGGCAAGATCGCTACAGGTCAAGGTAAAGGCGCAGCGGGGCTGGATAACATAGCGGCGCTTGAGGAACTCGAACTCGTCGCCTGGGTTTCCAAAGGGGCCTTCCACTTTTACCGTGCACCGTCCCGTCAGCACGGTCTTGTGACCCGGCCTGGGGCTCGGCGTCGCCAGTGGCCATCATGTCGTCGACGTCGACCTTGCCCGAGGCAGGGACTCCAACCTGGCCTCCACAAGGTCGCTTGCCAGCTGGTGGTACCACGACGCTGTCCTGGAAGAACTCGGCCCAGCTTCCAGGTCTTAGATACCCCGAACTTGTTCACATAAAACCAGGCGTCTTTCACGTCCATGACGTAGATCAGAGTGCCCCATTTGTGCGAAAGCAGGGGGACTAAGCGGGCGAGCGTGTTCACACTCGCCGGGCTGAAAGTGTTTTCTTCCAGCATGTCGGTAGCCCAGCGGTATTGCCTGGCTACCAAGCGTGCTCTTCTGAACCCCTTCTTCCACACCGAACACCATGCACACCATGCTGCTAAGGTGTTCTGCCTCCTCGGCCCCCACCGGCTCCACAAGCACATTCATGGCCTGGAGGTGGGTGATCTCGTCGATCTCGGCCTGGTCAAGGGCCTCCGGCTCCTTGGTCCTTGTTGGGCGGTTCATCGCCCCCTGCTCGTCGGCTCGACCATCCGAAACGCAAACTCCACATCCTGCTTGTCAGTGTTCCGATCAAGGCGGTGAACAACCTCGGCCTCAAGCTCCACCGCGTGATTGGTTCGGCTTGGCCCTGGGCTTCGTCTTTGACCGTGCCTCGCCGGGGTCCTCCACAACCCTTCTCGTCGAGGCTGTGGCTCGTTCACCCCGCAGCTGCTTGCCGTTGGGGCGCAATGTGCTCGGGCCGTGCGGGCTCGGCCTCCTTCTTCCGGGCTGCCTCCTCAACGCCGGTGGCTTCCTTGTCTGCCTCAGGCAACAAAGGGTGCCCAGCCGGAGCTCCAAAGGTAACACCACGTTCGGCTCAAGGACGGGGGGGGGCCTCGGCTCGTCGAGGCTCCTTCTTGCGTCTCCGAGACTCCTCCACGTGGTCCCTTCCACGGGACCGTGCTGCCGCTCTGGGTGGCTTGCCGGACACTGTCGCCAACCTCCTCTGACGACGAACTGGCGCAGCAACGGTTGACGTCTGCTGCGGAGGTCCTCCTCGTCAGGCCTGAAGTTGCTGTAGTCGTCGAGGGGGTGGGTTGTACCCAACACCCTTGTTTGGGCAGGGTCGGGCGTTCGAGCGGAGTCCCTGCCTTGCGTAGGGGCCCGGCCCGGGCCCCTGCTCCTTTTGAAGGAGCTACTGTACGCGAGACCCTTGGTAAGTCGTCTTGCCAGTTTCCTAAGAGCACTTGGGGCTCCCCCTTTACCTCGTCCCTTGCTGGGAGAGGGCTTATCGTTCAAAGATCGTGCTTTGTGTTTTGATGTCTATCATGTTTGAACCTTCAGGGATGAATGCTTGCACGGCCTGCCAGTCGAAGACGAGCAAGACCGAGCAAACTGCGAAGCAGAGAGCCAAGACCCGAACCAGGTCTGATGCATAAAGCATACCTGAGTGTCCTCAGACTGAGGTCCAAAGCTTCCTGAGGGAGCACAACACTGATGCAATCTCTGCACTTTCCACGAATCAATTAGGGTGGAGAGGGTGGGTATTTCAAATGAAACTCTCGCCCGATTCAGGGCTTCCTGCCCCTTCGAGAGGTCAAGCTGCAACGGACGAATGTATTCTTCAACTGGTTTACAGCGTGTATAAATGAGTTCAATAAAATGGGCAGTGTAAAAGAAAAGCCCTAAAACAACAAATCAAAATTGGACTCAGTTCTCTGAGTCATTTTGTCATGTTGTTTTTCTTCGAACGATAAAGCCATATCTTCTGCAAGTGTTCAAAGAATGTAACTTATCGTTCAAAGATCGTGCTTTGTGTTTTGATGTCTATCATGTTTGAACCTTCAGGGATGAATGCTTGCACTCACACATGTCACATGCAAGAAGTTCAAAGCTCGACGCTATTTTCACACGGTGGGGTAGCAAGTACCGCACACGGCAGATATCTTCGAACTGTCGGTCCTGTGAGACACAAGACTCTTTTTCGTCCCCACTTCCAGGAGTCGCAGTGTTAAGCAGGCAGATTCGAAACTCTCTTCACAATCGATAACACCACTTTGGTCGCCTCGACCGACTCGTCCTTGAATCCTAGCTTCTTGACTCTATCAAGTTTCATCCTTGAGGGTTCGTCAGCCAGATTGGCTGGTGATGCCAAGATGCCGTGGACATACTCAAGGAAATTGACCTCATCGATAAGAATCCCAGCAACCCCTTTCTTCGAAGAGCCGGCGACGTACGCATGTCTCGCAGCATCATTATCGATATAACAAATCACTCCCGTTCCAGCCACAGCACCTGGCTGTTCGTATGATTCTGCGAAAGCAGCTGTCTTTTCGACCAAGAGCTTGAGACCGATCAAGACCCCGAACATTTCGAGCTCGTATATGATGGTATGCTCATCTTGCAACGACGTAGACTTAGCTTGCTGCTCTGAGATCGGCACGCTGAAGAAAGAGAGTGCCGAGCCTGACCCGGTGAGAAGGACGCCCCCCAGGCCTCCAGTTCCTGACTCCGTTTCAAACGCCGCATCGGTCAGGATCATAAACGTCTCGGTTGGGCCATGTCAAGGAACTTACCAAACTCTTCAAGTCGTTCCTTGGCAATCGACGAAAGCTTCGACCTGCCAGTGTAGGCATGCTTTGTCACCTCCGTAAGGCACCTTCTTCCCAGCCTACCGAAAAACTGGGCTTGAGCAAACTGCAGCCTACCCCGCAGTTGTAGCGCTTCCTTCTGAGTCATGGTTCCCTTGTCCAGGAAACCTTTGATCGCAGCAGTAATCATAGATGATTTCGCCCCCCCCCCCCAACAGCCCCCCCCCAAAAAAAATCCCAGAGAAGCCATATACACAGTGAATGAGTTCCATGGTATGTCATGGCAGATCGCTACTTGGTCGTGGTAGGCATGGGGCATGCTGTACTGTCCGCAAGCGATTCCTGCTTGCTCCAGCGCTCAAAAGAAAGGCAGCGCATGTCACTCCGAAGTTAATCCAGGGCTCGGGCTGCAGATGTCACAGCATGTTCTTATGAGATCAATGCGGCCATAGGCCATGTAGATCGGGGCCATGGCCAGCGCACCAACGTTGGACGATGTATGTAGCTCTGCTTTTACAGAATTTTAATTTGATATTTGTGATATCGTTTTTTGCTTTCGGAGTGTATAGGTTGATGTTTCGTTGCCCTCTGCAGGCACAGTGTGTGACATCACGACTTTCCACAGTTCTCAGCGCGGTGTGCAAGTTCATTGGGCGACGGTGAAGTTGTGGCGCAAGTTGCTCAGCACACGGGATGAAGAGACCTTGCGTGAACGGGCAAGATCAGGAGCTCGGTTCATTTCGGATGTGTTCAACAAGATTTGGCCCGGCACGCCCACGATAGTGAGCCAGCTGGGGTCCAAGTTTGCGAAGACGGAAAGAAGGGACTCTGACGCTGCAGACCCAGTTGCGTGGAGCCACTGCAGCAGTATATGCACGGCATACTTGGCAGCGACGTTAGCATGGGCGATGTCGTCCAGCAAACGGTCACCCGCAGCTAGAGCGAGAGCGGTGACAGTGCTGAGAGAGTTGTTTCTGGCCTGGTGAGCAGTCATGTTGTCCTCCTTTCTTGGTCTGAATAAACCTTTGTCCGTTCCCATGGTGCATGATGTTTTTTTGGCCAAGGTTTTCCGCGGCAAATGATGCTGCGAGACGAGCCGGGCGCAGAGGGCTTACATTGACTATCCCGCAGGTTGGCAGTGATGAGTGGCATGAGTCAAGCTGTGACGGGGACGGCACTCTTTCCCCGGAGCTTGTGTGGACCGAACACAGCTACCGGTCCGTGGATTGGTATTGGATGTTCGTGGCACGACTGCGGAAAGATGGGGCTTTGACATCCATGCCTTCGAAGCCCCATGTAATCGACCTCATTTGGCTCGGTCTGGACCCACAGGTCCCAGAGGCCTTGCATCGTGAGCTGGAGCCTGTGGCGCTGAGTCTGCTGTCCCAGGTAGCGAGCGCCTTGGACACGTGGGCTCACAAAATGGCGTCTGCAACCGCGGTCATGGACCCTTACCATTTACAGGCCAAAAACAAGACACAGCAGGATGTACTGCACGCACAGCGATTGTGCAGCGCAGCCATGCATCTATTGCATAAGAACGCACCCCTGCCGCATGTAGCCGACCTTGTTGCCGTTGTTTGCTTCTGGTTGGTGATGGCCCTGACCGGCATGTCTGTCTCAGGACGACCCAGCAGTACGGCTGCGTGAATTCCTGGACGATTTCGGTCTTCGGAAGACAACCGTCACGAAGTTTAGCCAACTCGTGAGTGTCGGGTCTTGAGTTGCACAAGTCCAGGTGGTCGCGCTTGAATTTCTGAGTTGAATCGTTAAAAAACTTGTCATTGTTGCAAGGTGGCCTACTGGTTTCGGGCAAAGGAGATCCTCTGCGAGCAGGACGCATTGACCGTCCTCGCCTCATTGAGGAATTCAGTTGACCTTGTGAGGGTGCTGAGCATTGAAGCTGGAGGTGTACGTGGATGGTAGTTCGGTCGGCAAGAAGCCGGTGGAACTGGTGTATATCTTCAGTCCCAAGCTTTGCACTGGAGCATATGCGGCGCCCGTAGCAGGTACCTCAGATAAGACAGTGCCTCTGCACATCGGTTGTTGCTGCTTCTTCTCCTGTGGCTGTGACAAGTTGCTGTCCATGGTCTGGTTGACAGGGTTCAAGGTATAGTAGTTAGCTGCGACTAGGCCGCCCTTGTCTCCTCATGTCATGATCGCTCAAAGCAGCCTCGAAGCAGACACTTCGCAAAGCAGTGTGGCTTCATCTTGGACCATGCGCAGCTGGACTGATAGCGAAGCCCCAGCGAGCTCGCAATCTACGAGCTGTAGCAGCAGTCCCTTTGAGGAGCTCCGTTTTCCATTCTGTGCCGCACATGTTTTACATGATGGTGTCTGTCGTTGTGTCCGCGTCTTCTGCGGCAGGCGCTCTCGGAGGAGGTGGACAATCTGGCACGGTCCGCCAGAGCCATCCAGATCGCTTGGGCGGTTGTGAGAAAGAAGCTGGACAGAGCAGAGATCCAGGACGGTAGTCCAAGAGCATGATTCCTCATTCTAGAAGCTAGTCCTCTAGAATCCGTGAACCAATCCGTGTGCTCAGAGGAATCGATGCTCTGCACAACACGCAAAGTGAGCTCCACTTGTTCGGGCGCCTTGACGTCGGATATGGCCCTGGCAACCCTGGAGAAGACGATCATAGACACTGCTGCGTCTGAATACTACGTGAAGTACAGCCCAGTGGCAGTCTTCGTATCTGGCCAGCATTAACTTAATGTGCTGCAGGTCGACAATCATTGCATTCACTCGGCTTCTCCCTTGCATCCGAAAGAGTCCACGAACGCAAGCTCAGGAGAAAAGCGCTGCGTGTCAGCAGCTCATCCACGACAACCTGCGATGGATGGAGACGGTGGCTTCCAAACAAGCCAATCCCTGCGTCTTTACGGACATCACGGACATTGTCCCGAAGGGCTCCTGGAATTCAGAGGATCCGTTCGAGCAAAAGGCTTGCGACATCGACCGAGCCCCTTTCTTCCTGAAGGCCAGATGCGTTACTCATGGCCGCCTCTGCCCCCTTTTCGCCGTCAACAGCGACTTGGATGTTGCAGGCCTTCCCTGTGTAGACTACAGCAAGTCAGGAAAGGGTCGCAGGGAAGAAGGTCCCACGGCCCCTGTCTTCTGCTGCCACGCGAAGCTGCACGTGGAGAAAGCCACGCCCCTCTTGATAATCGAGAACGTTCAGGACGCCTCCCTAACCCTTGCTGATACACGTGTGTCTGTAGGTCCAGCTAGACTCCTAGCCTAGAGCGGGGTATCAGCTACATGCATCCGTCCAGGAGCTGTCCATGGAGATGATCTACCGGCTCTATGGCGGCCACTACAACATCACCAGGTTGCTGTGCGATACCGCCGACGTGGGCCATGCAGGGACGTCTCGAAGCCGCCTATACTTGATTTTGTTTCACAAGCACAGAGTGGTGATGACGCAGGATGTGCAGGAGATGTACAGTTCCATCGCTGCTGTCTTGCGCGACGCCATCCAGACAGTTCCCAGCGACTACATCGTGAGCGAACCGGGCGAGATTGATTTTGAGGTGCAGCAGCTCTGCATCACCCGCCGGAAACAGGTCCAGGTGACTCAGAGAAGAGTATAAGGTATCTTGCAGAGCGAACTGCTGTTGAGACACTACATGACCAGAGGCTGCTCCTGCAGATTGTTTCTGAGGTCGCAAGAGCCGGTGGTCGCGCCGGCATGAGGCTGTTGCCGAAGCAACTGCTGAACTTCCGCGAGAAGAGCTGTGTCAAGACCCTGTCGGAGAAGTACAGGAAAAGGCCGGACGAATTTCCTTTGTGCTCCTGTTTCTCTCTGCCAGCAGCTAGCTTGTAGCAGTTCGGACAGGCGGGGTACCAATCCTGAGAAGAACAAGGACTTGTTCTTCAATCTGGGCGACAGTGCCGAGCGCACGTCTTGGTCCTTGCATGGAAAGCTACCCACGCTCAGGCGCAACAATGCCCTTCTTTGGTGTCCACACCTGCAAAGGTGGATGACAGCGAGAGAGAAACTTTGCACACTGGGTTTCCCAGTTTGCGCATCTGTGGCGCAGTCGATGGGTGTGGCCGAACTTCCTGTGAAGGATGTGAAACGGGCCGGCCTCATAGCCGGTAACGCCATGAATTGGAATACTGTTGCCATCGCGCAGCTCGTAGTGCTTGTGTGCCATCGCAAATTGCGTTAGGCATGACATGCTGTCATGTGTGTTTGTCTCCGTAGTGCTCTAGTGCTACCAGTAGCTGATCCTGAGGGCAACCTTCACGGCAGAAGCCTCTGGAGATGCATTCGAACTTTGCTTTAATTCGGCCACTCACCGAGTCCCGTCAGAGCCGCTGAAACATCGGACTCGCTCGATCTTGAGAATCTGACACGTTTCATCAGCTCAGCCATCACTGCACCGTGGCAGCGCAGCTTTTCCGTTCAAGCATCCAAGGAGCCGAGCTCCTCCAGTCTAGATCTGCGATTCATGTCGAAGTTTCTGCGTTCGCCCAAAGCTGAGGAGCCCGCAGCGACCTTTGCGCCCTCGTCCCGCATGACTTCGTTGACAGCGACAGAGCCAAAGCGCCCTGACTGCATCTGTATATGTGGTGGCCTTGCTTTTGCCTTTTGTTTCTGTATTGAAGTGAGCCAGGTGGCCCGGTGGTGTCAGGGTCGGCCTGACACCGAAAAGGGGTGGCAACAAGGCGGAGATAGAGCCGCCGACTATCGTGAAGAGAAAGCGCCGAACCGACAATCCCAACACTAGCGCTGCGGACGAGATGAAGTCGGACTCCAAGACGAGAAGGGGCAAGGCAGAGAAGATCCGTGCCAAGGATCTCATCGACACTCCTGCGCCATAGCTTCATACGAGGCTCCGTGCGTGTAGTGCTTCATGTGGTCACATGACACTCATCTATCTGAGGAGTACCATTTCACAGATTGGTTCCAGAATGCCGACATCACCTATTTGGGCCCTGGTGCGATGAAGGGCATCACGAGGCCCATGAAGTTCTCGGTGTTGCTTTGCTGCTTTGGCTACACGCCAAGTGACCCACCGCCCTCGAGCCTTTGCTTATCTTGTTGAGGGCGTCGTATCAGGAACCAACAAGCATTCAAACATAAACTTTTGGCCATGGGTGGCATGTCCCAACCCCAAACCCATTGGCTTTCTGTAAACGGGGATACTATGGGATATCCCAACTTTATGATTATGCTTTTTGTTGGGGTGCTTTTCTGGGCCCTTAGTTACCCGATGGCACTCCAAACCCAAGGACGGATCCGGAGGATGCAAAGAATGTTGCCAAAGGTGAGTACGACAGACGCGGGAAGATCGCGGAGAAGACCCGATGGACGGCCGTCCACATGCATCGATGGGCTTTGGCCCACTCGCACAAGCTTGCGGAGGAGGGCAAGACGGACCCCACGGTCCACGACTTTGGCGTCTTCGCTGCAGACTTGCCGCAGCACGTTGACGGGAAGCCTGCCCCGCTGCCCGACTTCGTGCTCGAGTACGAGAGGAAAGTGAAGGAGGACCTCAAGAGTCTTGCGGACGGCCCGGGGCCCGCCGACCACACGCGGTTCAAGGCCGAACCATTGGGATTTGGGGTTGCGTGATTCTTTTACATTTGACATGCAAAATAAATCCCCTGGGTTACTGAACGACGGTCTTGAATCATCGTACCATAAGTGAAGAGGCAGTTGGGGTGGGAAGGGTTGTTGGGGCGTTTTTTTTTTTTTTTGTTTAACTGGGTGGGGTGGGCAGGGTGCGTGGGGTGGCTTGGGTGGCGGGGTTGGCCAGATTGATTGTAGTAGCTAGGCTGCACCACAGCATGCTTTAAGCCCTAAGCCCTAAACCCGAAACGCAGGTCATGGACGGGCACCACATTCCCTGCCAAGACTACAAGCTTGAGAAAGTCAAGGGCAAGAGTGTGTTGCAACACCAGCTATTAACGAATATCATCGAGCTGGCGGACCTTCCAGCCTCCGACCATTACTTGCTGTACAGCACCAGGGAGGGGCAGGCGTTGTTGCTGGTGAGAGGTCGGGACAAGGACACCGAGCCGCCGGAGATGATTGTGAACGTGGCTTTCGCGGCGGTGCAAGCCGGGGTGACCAAGGTCCTTGCATCGCCAACGACCAGTCGGAACCCAGACGGTACCACAGCAGGATCGCGCTACTTAACTGGCATGAGTCCTACAGCAGGCCTGGCTGCTTCGTTACATAAGTCTGTTCTGGAAGTACCAGGCCCCCCTAAGCCTACTAAGCCTGTGTTGCTATCTGCCCGCAGGTGGAACTCCCCAGCAGCACATCAAAGCAACACCAAAGACGAGCCCGAAGAAGTCCGCGACACCAAGACTTCCCGAGCCCGATGACATGGGAGACAGCTTGGATGCGTCAGACGAGGAAATGATCGAGGACGTTGCTTTCGAGCCTACTAGCACTGTTTCCGAGAAGTTTCGCGGGGTGTTGTTATTCTAGAATCCACAGGAGTGCCTCGAGCTTCCGGAGCCGTTCTTCCTTCACAAGGACGCGCAGGGCACGTGGCTGGTGGAAAGGGAGGCGACGAAGCAGGTTTTGCTTCCAAGTGAGAAGCATGCCAAAGGCTGCGCAGATTGGGTCCTGACTGTGGATGACGAAGGCAGCTACATCTTGGACAGCGAGTCTCAGGACGCGAAGGTGAAGCCGCGGTATGCCAAGATTTGGTGTGCCTCCCGCAAAGCCGAGATCAGGATTCGGATCGTTTGGCGGAGCTCGGGAAGCTTGCTTATACGAGTAGTGTTTTGCGTGCTTGCCCGGTTGAAGGGCTCGGCTTTAGGGTTTAAGCGTTTAAGTTTTGAAGGGTTTAAGTGTTTAAGGGTTCAGGGTTGTATGTTGATGCTTCGGAATTATGGTTGCTGTCCATTGTTGTCGTCGGTTGTCGTTGTGTTTCTTGTTGTTGTTGTTGCTGTTGGTGCTGGTGTTGGTGTCGGTGTGGTTGTGGTTGCTGTTGTTGTTGTTGCTCTTGCTGTTGCTTTTGCTGTTGCTGTTGCTGCTGCGGTTGTTGTTGTTGTTGCTCTTGCTGTTGCTCTTGCTGTTGCTTTTGCTGTTGTTGTTGTTGTTGCTGTGCTGTTGCTGTTTCCGTTGTTGTTGCTGCTGCTTCTTTCTTGGCTGCTGATGCAAGTGAGGCTCGGACCCACCAGCCCCGCGGAGGGTGCCAAGAGCAAGGATTCTGATGAAGCCGGAGAACCCAGCGCGGAGGTGGCTGAGCAGGGAGCTGCAGAAGAGCCGGCAGACATTGAGGACTAGGTTTGAGCAGGTCAAATCAGCTGTTTGCGGCCAATCTAGTAGCATTGTTCGTGGTGTGGTGCATAAAGGTTAAGGCCATGAAGGGTTCGCGATGCAATGCAGGGGTCTCGTTTCTGTAGTCCCTCTTCTGAACCTATTCTTACAGAGTCTCGCTTTAAACTACAGCGCACGCGACCCTGACCGTAAACCGTGAACCCTGGGCCCTATAAACCCTTGACCCTTAACTGTTGTTATCGGCTACTTGCTGTTAGGGCTTCGTGTTTTCGTTTCGGGTTCAACCTCAACGGTCTTTGAGCGAGCTGTAGCTAGTTGCCAGCATGCACACAGAGTTCGCATCCTTATGCGAGGCTTTGGGCAACGCGAACTGAGGTAGATGATGAAAAATGTTGTCTACCTGCAGGTGAGCACACTCCGAAGGAGTCTGGCCGGTGAAACCAAGCTTTGTTTCGCATGTGGTTTGAAGGGTTCGGCACTTAGGTGTGGGGTTCTTAGGTGTTGAACGACTTGCGCCTTCTCGTCTTCGGTTTTGACGTTAAAGTTCCGTGCGGAGTAATGTAGGTTTAGACGGCGTTACGGTTCCCCAGGCTGGCTGTTCTGGAGCCCAATCTCAAGAAAACCCCCAAGACACACAATCCACTTGCGTATGCCAGGGCTCAGTGTTTCTGATAACGGAGATGTTAGCAATCAACAGCTTGTTAGAGTGTTTCGATTCGTTTGTCCTGCAACTTCAGCTTCCGGGGAGTCACAGTTTCGGAGCATGGGTTTGAGATACCCCAAATCCGAGCATCTTCGTTCATTAGCGGGCTTGCATATTTGATCTATCTCGTCCATTACCATGCATCCGAAAGAATCAACTTCATAGCCCAGGATCTGAGCCTAATAGTGCCTATTAGTAGATTAGTCTCTTTCAGCGGTCTCGTCAAAAGCCATGCCCCCCAGCAACAGAGCCTAATAGCGCCTAATAGCGGGGCTTGCCTTTGCCGCCTATTAGCCCCTAATAGTCCTTAATAGCTGCTATTGGTGCGGGTATCCTGGGAGACTTATCTTAAGGTTGGGGGGGGGGGCTGTTGGGGGGGGGGGCAAAGTCATCTATGAAGTAAGTTCCTTTCGTCGTTTTTCAGTGTTCCTGACCTTCAGAACTCCCGACCCTTTCTGGTCAAGCTCGAAAAGGACGCCAAGGGCCTCGAAGCTAGTGTCCCACTCTGTCGTCTTATCAGCTGACAGCTTCCAACCTAGCAGCCTCATAACTTCATCGAAAGCATGCGAACACGAACTCCTATCTCCTCCAAGAGCGAGCAGAACGAAATCGTCGAAATAATTTGTGGTCGGGATTCTGGCCCCTTTGACCAAGATAGTCCAAAGAGCTCTCGCCACTCTGAGGAAAAATACACGGCCTTGGTGAAGGGCACAGCTAGTTGTTGGAACAACTTGGGCTCCGAGAGGTAAGAAAAATCTAAGCTTGTATCAGATACCGCCAATTGTCTGTAAGCTCCCTTCAGATCCGCCGTTTTCCCGTACAATGCGTTCAGGTTCTTCTTTCGGGCAGCACTCGAAAGCGTATTTATCAGCAATGCAATTTCATCGATAGAGTGCGTGATGGGCTTTTCAGAAACTGTGACCGTGTCGTTAATCAAACTCGATGAATAGTTGTCAATTGGTCGCAGCTTCTCCCCTTGTAGCAACGGAAAACGGGAGCTGACCAAACATCTTTTCGGCAATGACTCGAAATCGTAAGGTCCTGAGAGATATCCACTCTGTACCTCTTCCATCGTCTTATCCCACAACAGCTGGTCGATTTCCTTATCACCCGACGACCCGGTCTTCACCCGGATCTGCTGTCTGATTTCATCAGACATCCCTATAAGTTGTTCAGTATCCAACCTAGCAGGCTTGAGCTTGGTATCCAGCACCCCGGTGATAGGAATGTCCCCCGTCAGCGTGGCTCCGTCGATGAGCTCCTGAACCACACCCATATCGTCATACCAATGTCTCGCAGCATCTCTTCAAATAGCAAGATACGTTTGGGTTGAAGGATCTTCCTTCTGTGATCCGACATGCCAGCTTTCAGCTTGGTTTCCTCTGGTTCCAACTCTTTGGCTCTTCTGGCCCACTTCTCGATGTAATTCTTCCTCTGAGAACGAACCGGTCCCGGTTTGTGTACTAAGTCATGAACGAGGTCTCTGCCTTGTTGCACTTGGACAACTTATGGTATGGATGCCCAATCTTACCTGCTTTAGCAATGAACCCACTCGCAAAACTGAGGCTCCATTCAAGTTTTGCATTTCCTGCTGAAGTTGCAGGCTCAATTGCCCCCCTGACTGAGTACGCGACAGAAACTGGGAGCATCTTGAGCTTCGGCAACACGCGGGCGCCGTGCGGAACTCGCCAGTCCTGTTTGAGGCGTTTCGACCCGCCAAACGGGTTCTTTACCTGCGGTGGCAAAAAGACATTAAACCACCAACTTCCACTCAGACACCACTTCCAGCACCATAGAGCGGACGCATGGTCGAAACTCGCAGCGATTTGTTGGCTGAGGCCGAGCTGCGGCATGGCAGCTGTCGCTGAGTCAGACCTGCAATGAACACTCAGCTGTCGCCGTGGCAAAACCTGGCGATAACCTGTTGCGCCTCCAATCGTTGCTGCACCTTACGTCCCATAGGTGCCGCCTCCCTGAGTATTTCGGGCAAATTAGACCACACGAGGCTGCGCTGCTTGCTATGTGAGTCCCAAAGCTGCCAGTCCCTATGCGGAGGGTGCTGTGCTGATGGTAAACGATTGAAACTCTCCCAAAAAAAGAGGGAAGACACCGAACCCTCAAGAATCAGACAGGTTGTTACTCAAGCATCCTGCCATCACTGCAGGACGAAAGCCGTAGTAACAGGCTCCGAGGCGTGTTTGGGAACACATATTTTTTTGCTGTAGAAAAACTCAAAACCCAAATTCAAGCGAATATAAGTTGCACTCACTCCGTAAGTATAAAAGTCAATCAACTCATATCGTATCGCATCACTCGGACCCTTCTTTTCTTTCAGGGGGCGCACCGGGTTGCCCGGCCTTAGGCCGCGGGCTAGGCGCACTGCCAACATGCCGTTCGCATGTTGGGCCAACGTAGAGCACAGCCTACGGAGTGGTGCACAACTGGAATCGCAAGATCGGCCCCAAGCGATCTGAAGTCTCGACGGGTGTGGTGGGAGGGTAGTCGAGACCCATCTCCCACTCTTGAGCAGCAATGTAACACGACGTGGACATTTCACATGCTCTTCAAGGAAATTTCTTCTCTCAAGAAATCACTGCTCGAAAATACATTGCTTAAAGTGGGAGAGGCAGCACACGGGTTAGGGCATTAAGGTTTTTGAGTTTTCTTCGCTCGCCGCCACGGCGGCTCGTCACGAACGCAAAAAGGTACTAGCTGTCGTCGCAGGCTAGACAGCAAAGGTACTTTTTGCTGTAGAAAAACTCAAAACCCAAATTCAAGCGAATATAAGTTGCACTCACTCCGTAAGTATAAAAGTCAATCAACTCATATCGTATCGCATCACTCGGACCCTTCTTTTCTTTCAGGGGGCGCACCGGGTTGCCCGGCCTCCCCAGAAAGTAGCAACACGGTACGTTCCCACTCAAGACCAGAGATTACAAGTCGACCAGCGGGATGCCCGAGATGGGGCATGAGCACTTAACTCGTAATGCACCCGACTCAACAAGTGCTCTGAACTCACCGCGTGACGGGTCGTCTGAAGGATTGGATGCGGAAGGGACCCTTGTCCAGTATGTCCACGATGGACCATGTTTCTCACAGCATTCCCATGTGAGAAGCAGCTCTCGAAAGTGATCACTGTTAGACGTTCCTCGCACAAAGCTAAGAAGGACAGCGTCGTTGTCAACGAAGAAAAGGCAGTACTGTCCAGAAATGTACTGGTGGAAAGCCTTGCGTGCCAGGGCGACAGCGTACGCCTCAACGGGTCCGATAATATGCTTCAGATGCTGCCTCCATCGGTCTGCCAAGGCACAAGGAACTTCGCAAGAAAAGAATCGGGGCCGCGCATCAGAAGGAGAGTAAAGAATACCTCCAACGGTGTTGCCAGACTGTTCGCTTGCTCCGTCCGTGAAGATCAAAACAGGCTTAGGGGCAACCACACAAGGGACTACCCTAGGGGAACCGAAAGAGAGGCGATCAATGAGAAACTCGAAAGCCTCGATCTCGCGGGGACCCAGAACAAACCGGGAGGCGTGGCGTGTGGAAGCGGCTCTCAGCTCCGCCAATGCGAGCTTTCCGGTTCTCCCCATGACTTGCGCATCGGAGAACTGGACACGACCTGCAACCCTGGCAAAAGTACGCATCTTGATGCAACCTTCACTGATGCATTCACGGATGGCATCACACACCTCACTGGATCGGCCTTCCTTGTTCCTAATCCGAATGACACCTTCCCTGGCTCCTTTCAAGTCAATCTCGACCCCAAGCATGGAGGCGACGTCTGCAAATGGGTTCAGTTTGTCAAGGGATGCGGAAAAACCAAGCACTGAGGACAACACAAGCAAGGTGTCCATGGTGGAACCTGAAAGACAGCACGGGCTCATCACTGGATAATCGTCAACGAAGTTGGCCCAGAACAGGAAGACTTCCAAACCTATCCGCCACAGCAACCTAGACAACCTGTTGAAGTGGAGCACGGACGATGTGCTTCCAAAAGGCAGAGCCTTACTCGCCATTATCCGGATTGAGAAGGGCAACGACGGAGAAGGCACGATGGCTCGGGTTCAACGCAAATTGGCGATAAGCATTCTTCAAATCAAAGGTGCACAGTTCAGGACACCACGACGAACCCGCCCAAGCAGGGTGCACTCGACCAACCAACGGTGGTCCGCTGGCCATGTCCAGAAAGAATTGATGCTCCGTCGTGTGAGCTCGGATCCAAAAGCGACATATTGCAATGATCTCGTCAAGTGCCCTTAGATCTAGCTTATCCCCATAAGAAAAAGAACCATTAACTAAGTTCTCGGAGTAGTCGTCAATCGGTCTCAACTTGCGCTTGCCTCCAGAAGATTGAATCACGGCGAACCGGCGCACAGGGGCCCATGCGTCGCCGTACCTTCTCGTCAGCTCTTCTTCGGTAAGTGGTCCCTCCAAGAACCCTTCGGCAACCTCAGTCAAAGTCTTATCCCACAGTTCCGAGGAATGCTCATTCAGACCCTCGGACAAAACCTTACCCAAAAGCGCCGGACGGATGTACTTACAGGCCTTAGTAAACTCGTCAGCCGTCCTCTCCTGGGGACGAGGCTCCTTTCTAAAGACACCAGTGGGCTTCTGCCAACCAACCAAACCAAAACCCTTACAAGTATCCTCAAACCATCCATCGTCGGGCCACTTCAAGTCATCGGCAATGCGTTTGAGCAAGAGAAGCCTCTTTGATCCTAACACAGACCTCACACCAAGTTCGAGGCCCTCCTTAAGTCGGGACTCTGGTTCCTCCAATTCCCTGGCCCATTCTAACCACTTGTTGAGAGTGGCCACACGTTGCCTACCAACCCACTCAGGGCCCTTCACCAAGGCCTCATGAAGCTTTCGTTTCACTTCGTCGGGGATGACAGCAAACGTCTCGAAGGGATGCCGTAATCCTTTGGCCTCCTCCAGAAACTCATCCGGTGTTGCATACACACCAACACTAAGTTCGAAGCCACCCGACTCCCCCGTCTCCTCAGTGGCGAGAAGTTTGGAGCCTGCGGGGATGTCACCGATGGCGTGCTGCAAGCAATTTTTATGATCCACAGGCGGAATCTGTGGCACACGACATCTGCAAACGCGACCAAATTCTCTGATGAGGCTCGCACCAAGTTTACCCCGACGCTGCTGTGTGACAGGCGGAGGGCTGGACTGCAGCGGAGACAAAAGGGGGTCAAAGCCACAGTGTTTAGCCACGGCGTGGGCAACCTGCTGACAGAAAAGCCTGGGATGAGTATCAACACCGCCAGTCACAGGCGTGTGACTGTGATTACCATGGCACACTTGTTGTAAACACTTGAGTGCACTACAAGACGTTAGCAGTTGCCTCCGCAAGCGATGCGGAGAATCGAAGGCACACAAATCGTACACCACGGTAGTGGTGTTGGTGAGCTGGCGCACAGCAGGCATATGCCACAGGAAGCTGGACTGCGGATGCTCAATGGACCAGGCGATGCCCATTTGTTGAACTCGTTTTAAGAAGGTGATGACATGTTCCAACAAGGAGTCGGCCAATGCGAGCCTTTGAACCTGAGAGGCGTCGGCGCCTCCTACAGGAACTACAGATCCATGGGACAGTCGTCGGAGGCCCTGCTTAGGTCCATAGGTGGCATACGGCAGATCAATGTGCACGTACCGAACATGATAGTTGTCAAGCACATGCGAAAGATACTGCCACGAGCTCGGCAAGGCAAGATCCAGTGAGCACAACTTGGCCAACGGAAGCCGGTGACTTCCCCTATCTATGGGCATGACCTCAAAGCCAATCTGATGAAAGGCTCGGGACAAAGAGCCTGCACGGGCAAACAGCTCGAGCACAATACCAGGCTGGTCAACCGGCTTGGCCTGAACCTGACCAGTAGACCCTACGGAATCTTCTACGGGGGCTAAACCCGACTTGGAGGAAGCTAGAGGCGGGGAAGTCACTGGTTGTGCGAGGCCGAGTGGTTTTGGAAACTCATCAGTAGCACACCCCCCGGTAACGACCGGCGCTTCATAGCAAACCGGAGGTGACTGTTCGGCATCAAGAATGTCGGCTTGCATCGGGAGCTGAAATTCCAAATCGGTCAGTGTAGCACTATCAGTCTCACTAAGGTGATCAATGGCGGAGACTGAAAAAGCAACTAACACCACTCTATCACCCGACCAATTCCTAGTGGCGTGAGTCAAACGTCGAGCGGTGAAGACGGCATGACTCCCGTCCAAGCTGAGTTCGACTCCACTGCGTAGTTCGCCATCAACATCGCACCAAGCTTGGCCGCCTGGTCTCTCAACCCACACCTGTCCCTGATCGAAGTCAGACAGTGCACACACAGCATTGGGCAAAGAAGAATTATGCGCATCCACATGAGGTGTGGTTTGAACGTTGCGAAAGAATGCTAAGCTCGTGAACTTTAAGCTGGGCAGCTGCTGTCGCACAAAGCGCGCGGCCAACTTTGTCACATTCGGGAAGAGCAAGACATTACGTCGCAGCCCAACCTTGACTCTGCAATAGGCACCTGTCGAGAAGGAGACCCCTTGTGATGGGTCACCTCGGACGGAAGCCTCTGTGGGGAGTGATTGGAAGATCTCAAGTAAATCAGTGGGGGAAACAACACCAGCATTGTTCAGCAGGGTCAGAGCTCGATCCTCGACCGAACCCTTGAATTCGTGATCAAGACTTGCGCTACTGATCGACTCAATTTCATCGATGGCCTTGACCTCATCAGCCTGAAGATTGGTTTGAAGTGAAACGCGTGCAATCTTGGGAGCAGGAGCCTGGGCCCCTAGTCACTCGGTATTGCGCTTTGGGCAGTTGGGGTAGAAGTGCCCGGGCTGGTAACAAAAGCAGCAAACGTGAGCACCCCTGAAGCACTTGTTGCCTGTCAATTGCCTAGTGCATTTGCCCCTCTGAGCATCAAAGCAAATGGGCACTCCTTTCGGGGTGTTTGCGTGCCCGTCCTTTAGGTCCTCTGGCATGGTCACCTCGCGGCGCGACGGTTGCTTACCCTTACCAGAACCTTTGCCCCGACCTTTGCCACGGCCATACGGAGTGGGTCTTTCAAAGGGAACCTTAGCGGGAGGAGGCGACGCGAGAGGAGCGAGCAAATGAGACACCTCGGTCAAATCGGCGCAACGCATCCACGCCTCGTCCAATGGACGACCGGTCTCCGTGACTTGCACTCCACTGCGACACTCATTAGCAGCGGTGACAAACAATTGCTTATCGGCTTGAAGCAGCTGCTGTATGCTGACTCGGGTGTATCCCGAAGGCACCTCACGATATCTGGAGTGCAACAGGCGCTCAGCCCATTTCTCATGTTCTTTGAAACCTAACAATCCGGCCTGTTCCATCGCGAGTCCTCGCCGAGTGAGGGCGAACTTCAGTAACAAGTCAGTGCTCAAGTCGGCCTCACCTCGAATGTCGGCGTTCTTGATGTGCACATTACCGCTATTGTCAACTGTGAGGGTACGATCCTCCTTGTCCCGGGAATTCCGAGTCTCATCGTCCTTGCTCATGCACCAACTCAGCGGAAGATATGTAAGGCGATTGTTTTCATACATTTGACAACACTTGTCCACTGACCTGTCACTCGGTTCATTAGGCCCGGCGATGGTCAAGCCTGGATACCGCACCACTTGACGAGCCAGACGATCTGCTCGGTCAGGAGCGGCAAGGCTCCTCGCTGGTGCATCGGTGGTGCGCTCAACCTGAGATTTAAGCTCGGCCTCAGAGTGCAATCGGCGCAGCACCGAAAGCTCCCCCACGGTAGCATCCCTCTTCAACAAGTCCTTTATGGAAGTCACAAAAGGACCCTCATCACTCTGACCCGGAATGAAGCTGCTCACATACGCAAATTTGGCAAGAGTGTTGACGCCACCATCGACAAGCAGCTGAAGCACCTCAGCTTTCAAGCCGAGTTTCGCAGCCCGGGAGCTAAAATTGGCCTCACTCTCAGTAATACTCATGGTTCCAGCTTGAGCCGACCTGACTCTCGCGAACCCATGTGGTCCCCATCGTTGTTGATCACAACGATTTGCAAACAACTCTCTACCGACACTCACACATCGCAACGTCGCTCAAGAATTGTTTCGCCTCCAACTCGTGTCGCGTCACCTTCAAAATCGCGATGCCACTGACATCCCATCACCGTGACACGCAGGGCCCATGGGCACACCGCACCGATGTGAAGTGTACAATCCTTGGCGCTGGCACGGTACACTGTTGCAACAACATGTGGACAAAACGCACGGGGCCGACACGGCACACCGTGATCACGCCAGGACCGTCCCTTTCACATCATCAATGTTCTGTCGTGGCGGGGTCTCGCTGACACACCGTTGACCCGACATGTGATACGACTCGGGGCAAAATGCACACCGATGACATTCTGACGCGGGGATAGCACACCGGCCATCGACCTCGGTCGGGGCCGCAACGGCACACCGTCCTCAGTATCCCTCTATGTCACGCTCGCCAAACACAAATCTCAGCTCTGATCCCCTCTAACCTGCTCTCCAACAGCAGGCTCGACACTGGAATCTGTTTTGACAGAGTTGAAGCACCTGGCACACACAGGGTACAGAAACGATGGAACAGCTGCCACCTTCTCGTAGTTCTTCGTGCATGTCCTGCCGCAAGATAGAGAAGTTCCGCCCTCGTCGGCAATCAAGTGCAGCATGCGTGAAGACCGATTGCGAACCAAGTGCTCTGCCTTCAACTCGCGCTTAGGCACTTCCTCACACCAACCATCCACGACCCCGTCCAGCGCTCGCTCGAGCTCCTGACAATCGGTCTCGGCATCCTCTTCATCAAGAGACGCCTCTGAGGAAGCTTCGTAGTCGTAGCTGGCGTTGGGGTCGTCCTTCGTGGGGAAGTACCCGCTCCGGGTACTGTCCGGAACAAAAGTCCCTGACCTAATGGCCGCGAGGACTTTCTCGAGCACCCTGACCGATGCTGATACGGCATCGCGGCTGTATACTTGGGCGCTGCGGTCGCCCGGAGCCGTGTGATACCCCAACACTCTCTGATCATAGCTGTCGATGCCGAATCTGGCACACCAAGATAGACAAGTCGCTTTACATGAGTGCGTTCCAATAGGGGAACACTGAGCCTCAGAGAATCCGCACTTGCGGAGCACGTTCCCCAACCATCCAGCAGCGACCGAAGCACTCGGAGGGTGACTAGCCCAGTGTCCGGTGGTCAAAATCGCAGGCAGGACGGGCAGCCCCTCTCCAACAGGGACGTTCAATTCCTTTCTCAGCATGGACCACGCCTGGAACCAATCTTCGCCAGCGATACCCTTGCGTGGACACACCATCGGCAGCAGCTGAGTTTTCCTCTCAGTGGTGTAAGATGTCTTGCTGCGTGCGATGTCGGCCTGAAGGTAGCCTCCAAGCCCAGACGGGTCGACCTGCGGCTTGTCCTCGCTGACATTGTACATGTTCTGTGTATCAGAATACCTGGCCCTCATAAAAATCGAGAGCAAGAAGAATCCAGCTATGAACCGATCAATGCGATCCCCATCGGGGGAAACTACAAACCTCTCAAGTCGCTGTACCATCTCAGTCGACAACGGTGGGCGCTGGACCCTCTTCCGCTTTGTCAAGTAGCATGCCCTGGCCACACCACTCAATCTCATGCTAGCCATCGCCTCCTGAGCGCTCTCCGCTCCAAGAATGAAGAAACAAAAGGTCACCGCGCTCAGGAAGCTTTTGAGGAAACTCGGCGAGCATGTATGTTCGCACTCACAAGCAAACTCGTACATGTCATCCTCCTTGAATGGAAATGCCAAGACTGCATGCCTATCAGCCCATGCCACGTATCGTATGAGCGGATCAGCCCGACTGTGCAGAGTTCCAACTGCCTTACCTGCGAACACATGTCGCAGCGACCTTGACACTTGGACCCCGACAGGTGCTAGTGACGTGACCTTCCGACCCACATCGAAAGACTGAGGGCTCCTGAGTACAAGAGCAGTCCACTTCCGAACGGCCGCCACCAGTCTCTTCTCGGTCTGGTTCTCCCAAGAAATATCATGACGTACACGAGAGAATCGATGTGCAAAAGAGACAGCCGGCTGTTTGGGAACCGGAACAGAAATGTTGCTGCTCACAGGAATGAGGGGTAGTGGCCCCCTTCCCAAAGGTACACTGAAATCAAGCAAGCTATTTCGAAATTCAGGTGTCTCCCAAGGCATCCTAAAAGCCGAGCCCTGAGAAGTTCGCAAACATGTGCTGAGATGAGCATCGTAAGCAGAGTCGCTGGCCGTCCTCTGCCTCTTTGCACTTTCTTCGGATGCCATCCTTCAAGTGCTGCAGGCCACCGCTCGCCCCTAAAACTCGGCCCAAGCACTAACGCAATGGTTCTGCCTCGGGCTGCGAATCAAGAGCAGGTTGGGCACAGAAGAAGCTAGCACGGATTTGCCAGCTTGCGTGAAGAATTTGCAGGCGCTCAACAGAGGAAAGGCAGGCCCAAATCAAGCTGGCAATATCTCTCAGCTGAATTGTCCTGGCCAAAGCGGCCTGCATGGCTGGGCCCACCTCTATAGTCGAGACCCATCTCCCACTCTTGAGCAGCAATGTAACACGACGTGGACATTTCACATGCTGTTCAAGGAAATTTCTTCTCTCAAGAAATCACTGCTCGAAAATACATTGCTTAAAGTGGGAGAGGCAGCACACGGGTTAGGGCATTAAGGTTTTTGAGTTTTCTTCGCTCGCCGCCACGGCGGCTCGTCACGAACGCAAAAAGGTACTAGCTGTCGTCGCAGGCTAGACAGCAAAGGTACATAACACCTGCGAGGCAGCGTTCGTATCCGGCGGGCAACACCTCCAACTGCTCGCTCAGCATCAACCACCTTCTGGGCTCCAGTTTCATCGAAGGAGCGCTACAAATCTTCCGCTTCGTCGTCATGAACCCCTATTCAGAGCTCTTCCTGCGCTGTTCCACGCTGGCGAACGCGTCCGACATCAAGAGTCCGGTCGGCCAAGACATCATCTGCAAAATGATTATTGACAAAGACGTCGACTTTATCATGTCGGATCGCACCGACGAGAGCCATTTCGTCAAGTTGCACGGCTCCATTACTCTGCGCACCCTGCGCTTTAAGCTCACGGACGTATATATTCTCGGTTCCTGCTCATGAGCGGTGGCGTTAAAACCCAAACGCGCCTTGAGGCACACTTCTAGGTTTAGTAAAAGGAGGTGCAAGCCGACTGACTGACTACGTTACGCAAGGCTACAGCAGTGAAAGCTAACAGCACTTTTACACCTTTCGTCGCAACCAACTGTTCACCACGCGCTTGTCACGCAGTGCAAGTCTTGAGCCAAAGTGAAACGGGGCGCGGACAGAGACTTCAGCACACTCACTTCCGAGGTAAGTCCTAAGGACTCCTAACGGCTTCTCTGCACTGGCAACTCTGCTACACGGCCCAGGTGTTCCCCGGACTTCGTCTAGAAGTCCGCTCTCACAGCAAACAAACTGAAAACACTCTGATGTTCATCATGCTTCAGGAAAGTTCAGGGAAACACCATTCTTCGTGAAAACTCGTGAGGAAAACTCCGGTTGGACACGCTTCTGGTAATGATCACTTTCACCGCAAGGTGAGACAGGAAGCGTGAGCGCAGCGACCGACAGACAGACAACTTTTCCCTACTCCTACCGTTCACAACTACACCTAAGGTTCTCTAAAACTCACAAAGGAGAAAACAGAAAGTGTTCCTGACCTTGGCGAGACACAGGGGCACCATTATAGGATTGAAAATCATTCCGGTGGCGCGAGAAGTCCACGGCCAGAGGCCTGTCCGAAGAAACCCTGAAGCATGCATTAATTAAAACTGGCTGTAGCAAAGCCAGGGCTAAGCGAGTACGCCTTGAAGGCTCCAGTACAACCAGTAGCCTCAAAGCCCTATTCAAAATCGGAAGACTGTACAGGAAGGTGTCTGGCTCAAGTAACCTCAGGCCCCATTGGGCGAGGTAGCGGTTGAGCGACCTTCATAACTAACTCACTTAGCTCAGTTGGCGGCCAAGAAGAAAAGGAGACCGTGCAGCTGCAAACCAAAGTAGCTGCAAAGCAGGTGTGTCAAGCAGGTTTACACTGTTGCAGTGCAAACAGAGGGATGGGCAGCAGGGTACACACCTGCACACACTGCACACTCTTGCACGGAAGGCCCCCCCCCCCTGTTGACTACACGTACCCTGTACTGGCCCTGCACAAGCTTCAAGAGTACGAGCCTCAGCCCAGCTGGCGAGGCGTGGTCAGAAAACGGGGCTCCTGGGCACCGCAAGCCTCAGCCCAGCTGGCGAGGCGTGGTCCTGTACGAAACAGCGAAGCGGCAAAAGCTTTCGTGTTCCTGCTGTCAGATCTCCTGCTCCTTAAAGACACACCTGAAGAGATTGATCACCTGCCAACTAGCTCTCAAAGCAAAGGCTCAAAGCAAAGGCTGGACACTCGGGCTGACCGGACCGAGGATCCTGCAGAAAACGGGGCTCCTGGGCACCGCAAGCCTGCCAGAGCACGGAGAAGCGGAAGCAGGCAGGCTACGAAGCAAAGGCGATGCTGAAGTACAGTGCTTGAAAACCATTTTGCAGAGCAACAAGGCTGTCACGGCCTGCTGCGGGACCTTTGGTCCAGGTCAGTGCCCAGGCTGAGCTGCACCCTTCCACAGCCTCGGGCCCTCAGCCCTAAGGCGAGGGCCCAGGAGGCAGTGAAAAGCAAAAGTTCAGGCGGCCTTCCACTCGACGGCCAGGGCAGCTTGACTCACCTAGTAGGCTAGTCACCAAGGAAAACTCCCTGCTGTAGCAGGCACCACTTGTAGTGCTGCGTAAGGAGTGGTCGTAGCCGTTGCAGCACCTCCTCAGGCGAGGCGTTGCTGACAAGCTGGAGTAGCTCCTGAAAGTGGTCTGGAACACTCCTCTTGACCGCGCTCCAGAAAGCCGAGGCACGCTGTCTGTTCGGCCAGTGTG